GGGGGGGGGGGGGGGGGGGGGGGGGGGGGGGGGGGGGGGGGGGGGGGGGGGGGGGGGGGGGGAAAGAAGGGGGGGGGGGGGGGGACAGAAAAGGGCACGGCAGGGCAGGGCGGGGGGGGGACAGAAAGGGGCGGGGGGGGGCATGGACTGGTATGGTGCGGCACTCGTCTCACCACCTGATTTTCGTTTATTTCCTGGCTGCTGTGACCCCAGTCCCTCCCAAAATGAAACCCCCCGCTCTGGGAGTCCAGCCGAAACAAAATGCGTCTCTCATTTAAGCGGGAGACGGAGGAGCGCTTAACGCAACGCCTCACCCCGCTTGGCGCGATTTCACCTCCGCATCGGCAACCTTCCCCTGGAACGCCGTGCCAAATGAAGGCCTGTTCCAGCATTCGGCTCTGACCGACATAGAGGCGACTTTCAGGGGAACAAAGGAAAAACACGAGTACAAGCTGCTAAATATAACGGCATGTAAGCGGCCGCCGAGCGCACCTTCCCATTGCTCCTCCGTTTATTTATTATCCTTCTCAGCGGCACAGCGAAGTAGCAACACATTTAAATATGAAATTAATTTTTAAATTAAGGTCAGTAAACAGTAAGCAAATCATTATGCGATAGCTGCATTAATTCTATTAATCTTATTAATATCACATGTCCTGATACAACAACCAAGTGTATCTAGACGTGTATGTGTGTGTGTGTGTGTGTGTGTGTGTATATATATATAGAAACAATTACCCTCCATATGAATTTTCGCATAAAAGTATAAACAAAGGCCAACGCTGGACCAAGAGCCAAACCAGTGATGCTGTCTGTCCCTCAAGCACTTCGCAATCTATTTCAGTTTATTTAATTACACGTTAAAAACCTGAAAGCATCTTTCTATATGTAATAGTCCTGTTTCTCGTTTTTTAACCCTTGATTATGGGCATAGTGCAGGAATGCCAAAGAACTTGCACTTCTGCAAACAATGACAAAAAGAGTCTCAGATAAGTAATAAGTTCCCTGTGACTGACTCTGAGGCACGCAATCCACCGACGAGTCCTTTCCCTGCTTTACCGTGACGCCGTCTCCGCCGAACGCGGGGCTGCTTACTCAGCCACGCTGCCATTCTGGTCATTCCCAGGCAAACCCGGGGCCACCCGATCCGGCCTCCCGCTCATTAGCTAAACTCACTTAGGGCTGATATACCTGCCAACCCCTCAGTAAAACACGTCTCACCGCTTTGTTACCCTCATGTGCCCCCGGAGGCGGCGATGCAGCGGCAGGAGCGGCTCTCATTATCCGCCAAGAAACTGACCTGAGTCTCGCTCCCCGACCAGCGAGGCGCCGCGGCAGGAAGCTGCCGCCTGTGGGCGTGGCAGGGAGCGCAGTGGGCGGCGACCTTCGCAGGTCAGAAAGGACTCACCTGTTGGTGGGACAGATAGACGGGCTGACTGAAGACGATCCACTCCACCACCTTGCTGCAGGGCGGTGTGGTCAGCGAGCCTGTGTAGCGGTAATAGCTCCCCAGCGACGACGGGAGGAGGTCCCTCAGGATGAAGGGCTCCAGCGAGGTCTCCTTCTCTGTGGGGGTGCAGAGGCCAGGACATGTCACAGCAGCCCTATCTGTCCCGCACCGAACAAACAGCACAGTCACAGGACACATGCTAACCAAAAATACATTATCATACAACCACCAGCTTACTGGATGGTTTTCGCTAAAGTGACTTAGCGAAACTAGTTATAGTAAATTCATTGATATATATGGAGACTAACTGTAGCAAATCAGGTTAATCACTTTGAATCTTGAACTTGCTTTCTGGGTATTGAAAATCACACTCTGGGTCAGTTTAGTCCAGTCCAGTCCAGTTCATTAGCCACCAGAATAGTGGGTCTGCTATCCTGTTAACAAACATTACTGGGCATGTTGGTCGTAATGAAATATACCAGACTCACTCTGAGCCAGACACTGATTCTGTTATCATCATTAGCAGAGGGTTATAAGGCCACAAGCTTCCGAGGCCTGAAAATTCCCACAGCTTTATGCTCATTAAAAAGCTTAAAGAACAGCTTATAAAGACCTTTTAGTATCTGATCCTACATGATTTTAGGCAGCACTCCACCATAATGCCCAACTGGCATCTTCCACATTTATATGGTTCATAGTCTGACTCCTGACCCAAGAATCTCCAGCCTGTCCTGAAAAATAAACGAGATCCTGCTTTAAACCCGTCCAATCTGACTGACTTCAAATCTTCACATTTCTCAAACGCTCATAATCCCCACAACAATAACGCGGCCAAGTGCATCTTCCCTATCAGTGGGAGACGTTTTAAGGGACAAGCAGTCAATATGAATCGATGATGATAAGGTTTCTGTGTTATCAGGATAATGCCACCGGCATCAGACACGTCGCCGAGGAAATGAAGGAACAGCTGACCCACATTTTCAGCACAGAACTAAGCCGGAGTCTTATTCAACAGGGTAAAAAAAAAGACGACATTAAAATGACTATCAAACTGCATCTGATTTAAAGGGGAATTACATGCTGAATTCACTTTCTGAATATATATATATATATATTTATATAAAACATAATTGCTTTCACACAATCACTTGGCTATGGTGTCACCATGTAATTATGCAATTTCTGCACTTAAAATAGAGCTGTCACTCAATGCTGTACACGGCTAAGAGTCACTTAGAAGACCAAATAATTAATCTTGTTATATATTCCAGAGATAACCAGTAAAATCACTTAAAAAGTTCTTACTTTGACTAGAAATACTGCCCAGATCGAACTTCGAATGGCTTATCCTGGTGCGAATCACAGGGGGCGGTAGGTTAGGGTCTCTCATTTGGGGGCCAGTCCTTTGCAGGACACGTACATGGACACACTCACGCTTTCATACACTGCTGGCAACTTAAAGAAAGCAATTATTCTAAATGCATGTCTTTGTTCTGCCAGCAGAATCTCTACCACACAAAGAGAACATGCAAACTGCACAGAGAGTAGAGGCAGGATTCCAACCCCCAGCCCTGCACAGCTTAGGCAACTGCTATTTACTGAGCCACCATATTGTAACACATACACTGTATGTCTTACACCAGGTCAAAAATAAAATACTGCATGAGGAAACCAATGCAACAGCTCTCAGAAACATGATGGTCTGTTAATGGTCTCGCCTCAAGGTGCCTGGTTTTAAGTCCAGGAATGATGTGTTTCTTTTAACCAAAGCTACATGCTGAGCTCGAGAAATCATCCAGTTATATAAATGAATAAAAAGTGCATGTATAAAACAAACAGTATGACTATTATTAACATTATCACGTTTGCCAAGAACATTTTAAAATATGTATGTACACCCGGAGCCATGAAAAGCAGGATTTCTTTTTAAATGTCACATATGTTACCAGTAGCTTTATTGGTGCTGAATGAAACATATGATTTATTCTCTGTGTTTATGCGCTGCTTCATTACTAGGCAAAATGTGTTCGCGATCAGCCTGCCAGTGTTAGGGAGAGCAGGCGGATATAAACACATAAGCCAGGCGGATATTAACACACCTTGACATATCTTGCTGTGTTTGGTGTCTCTAATTAGGCGACTGTGCTGAGATCGCTTCCCTGCCTTATAGTATAATTAAATATTAAGGGTAAGCGTCTTAAGCTGTGAAGAGATGATTACTTGCATGGACAGATTCCCTTTCACTCCAGTAACAAGAGAGGTCCCTGTGCTTAAAAAAAACAAAAAAACTCCTGGGAGCACAGATGGAAAACAACCCCACTCTCTTTAATCCATAAAAAGTTGTATAAAACAGAGGATATATATATATATATACCTCTCCCCCATCAGCGCTACCTCTCCCTCATCAGTGCGTATCTCTCCCCCATCAGCACTACCTCTCCCTCATCAGTGCGTACCTCTCCCCCATCAGTGCGTATCTCTCCCCCATCAGCACATATCTCTTCCCCATCAGCGCTACCTCTCCCTCATCAGTGCGTACCTCCCTCACAGCAGCGTGTACCTTCCCCATCAGCACATACAGCTCCGACGTCAGTGTGTACCTCTCCCTCATCAGTGCGTACCTCTCCCTCATCAGCGCGTACCTCTCCCTCATCAGCGCGTACCTCTCCCCCATCAGTGCGTACCTCTCCCTCATCAGTGCGTACCTCTCCCTCATCAGTGCGTACCTCTCCCTCATCAGTGCGTACCTCTCCCCCGTAGTCAGATCCCGAGGATGAACTCAAAGCACTGTTATTGAAAACGATGCTGTTCATGATTATTGTCAGCACTATTTCTTGTTTATTATTATCGTTTCTTCTTATTATTGCTTAATTATTATCATTGCTGTTATTACTACAGAACTGCAACTATCACCCTAATTGGATAATGTAAATTCATTATATTTATTATTAATTATAATCCTTCGCTAAAAGGATTATTACTGCTCTTATTAAGACTCATGCGTGCACTAATACACCTATCCCTAAAATCATCTCAGCGCTGTAAGTGACATATCCAGCTTATGTAGCTGCCGGGACACGCTGACCCTCCGCCCCCCACGGAGCTGGAAGGGGAGATTTTAAGTGCACTTAAGCTGCTGAATTTGTCATTGCTCTACTTTGCTTATACATGAGCCCTCATCAACAGTGGGGAGCGCAGAACAGACATGACTGTGAATGACTCAGGGAGGAAAACGGCGATCAGTTAAAGTTAGGGGGGGAAATACTAAACTAGGAAAAAAACACAATTTTTAAAGGAAGGTGGATATACAAAAAGGATAAAAGTTCACCGTATTTACTGTAGTGTATATGACTCCTTTTTTCATTTTCCCCTATATGCAGCATTTTTAAAATTCCGAGGTCAAAAGTATTAGCCCATCCTAGGTGTGCTCTGCAATGGGGCGTGGTTATTAAAGTTGTAAAAAAATTCTGGGGACTTGGCCTCAGTGTCCTCAATGGTAGGTACGGCCCTAGCTTATTATAATAAATAATAGTATCACTTTCTATTGCAACATCAGAATGTATTAGAGGCGAGTGGGGAAAACAAACGATGGGTGAGAGTGAAGTTAATGAAATGCATAGAGGAAGGAGGAAGCCAGCAGCCCTGAACTGCAGCAGATCTGGAAGGCGAGTTTGCGTTTGCGTGACAGCCGCTGCGAAAATAGCGCCGCTCCTTTCTGCCACAGCCACGGACACCACGTGTCCTATCTTCTTATACTTTAACTTTCAGGTTTTAGTATTTAAACTTTTTTTACCCCCATCACGTGAATTTTTAAGGCAGGTTCGAAGCACTTCGACGTGTTGAGGGAGGGGGTCGTCCATGATGTTGAAAGAGAAAAAATAATAATAGTAAAGCGTAAATGGTGGCCGTCCACACAAGATACGGTGGAGCAGAGATGTGACATTCCCCTCAGGAAGGAAACGACGGTGGAAGGGAAACATAAAATGTGGCCATTCTCTGCTTTTGTGGGAGCTGTAAGGTCACATGCTGAGAAATGGGAAATTTCAGAAAACCTTCCAGAATAGCAACACAATCCATCTAACCAGCGAGTTTGTTATATGAGGGAAAATGATAACAGATGATTTAATATAGGTAATAAATTCATTGCACATTATACATACCCATACATGCCTGCATATAATTTATTGTTAAATTTTTTTTAGAATTATCATTACATAATAAATAATTGTAATAATAATATAATAATTATTCTCATAAGTAGCTGTCGAATACGTCTCCTTAGGGTTTCCACCCACCCTGCTTTTCGCAGTACTGTTCTCTTTGAGCAAAATTCATATTTTTTCCCGGGACACAAATTGTCCCAGTTTTTCGTGAAAATCTACATCTAATTTAGAATTTCATAGTTTCAAATAAAACCTCACTTGGTTTCCTTCTACCGCTATTGTTTTTTCTTCCTAGTTACATTTATATACCCAATCCTGTGTCTGTAAACGGATAAAAACAGGTAAAACCCAACGACGACTGCCCATGTCAATACTGCACTTTTATTTGATTGGTAGCAGAAATACGAAACTTACCTTGTTACCTAGCAACTGTGCAGGCTGTCGGTCCACCGTGCGCATACACATCAGCAACCCCACTGTGACTTAAATTGGTAGCTAGACATAACGTTAGTTCTTAAAAAAAATTCTATTCATTTTGTTGGTTTTGTGAAATGGCGGAAGTGACGGAAGAGAACGGCAAAACAATATTAGACAAGCCACCAGCATCAAAGAAAAAGTGATTCACAACGTACAACTCAGAGTGAGTGAAAAGAGAAAACTTTTCTGAATGGGCCCAACCAAGGTGGTTTCCACAAAGCAGAATTTCCCAGTTAGTGGGATAACTTAAGCCAAACATGAAAACTGTCCAATAGAAGGAGAGGTCAGTGACATTCCAATTGGACAATCCTTATATTTGTCCCCCCCCCAGTTCTCTGGCACTTGTGTTTCTTGTCCAGCCAAAATTTCAGTAAAATATGAAAGAAAACAGTGTCAGAAAATCATGCAAAAACAAAGAACATCAGAGTTTTGTATTAACCAAGTGTAAAAATCTACCCATTGCAGCTTTTGATCAAAGCAGAACTTCAAGTTAGATTAGACCTTAAGCTATCATGCTTGCAGTTTTAAACATCCCCTGAGGGACAGAAGGGACTCTGCAGGCGGCAGAAAGGGATGAGAGATATGTATGGAAAAGAGGTGAGAAATGTCAGTGTTAGGCTGTCCAAAGTCATTAAGATAAAAGGTTGTTTATAATTTATTATTATAATTTATTATAATATGTCTAAGAATGTTTACCTTTGGACATATTAGGGTTAGATTTTGTAATAGATTATTATTAGACATATATTTACTTGTGAAAGCAAAACATCTGTATTTAATGTAGACAGGTTAGAGAGACAATAGGGAGTTCTACAAATATTAACATATTAACATAGTATATGTGCAAAAATGGTGTAATCCCCCCCCCCCCACACACACACACACAAATACAAAAAGACGTCCAAGCGTCCTGGTTATTCACAAATCAAAGGTGGCAACCTCAGCCTACTTAATAGCCTAACCTGTGCACAACCATGGCGACCTGCTTTTAAAAGGAGCTTTAAAAGCGAGAAAAACAAGAATTTTCTAATTCCTTCACCTAATAGCTGGGAGTGTCCCCCCCTCCCCCCCCAGCCATGTCTGTCAGGCTGCAGCACACATCCTGCTGCTATTTTTGTGAAGTTTGCGATTAAATGTTTTAGGCCAGTGAGGTATGTGTATTGGGCTCCCAGCTTCCCTGTCGGAGCTCAGGGCGAGAGTCACACGGCAGAACATTCAATACCAACGAGGTTTCCCAGAATATCCACAGTGGGAGCAGCCATGAACTGGCACTGGGCCAAACTCCAGTTCATGTCTGTTTCAGTCCCATTTTTTTAAATGGGGGGGGGGTGACGGGAAGGGGCTGGATGTTAGAGGGCGAGTGTAGCTCTTTGTTTCATTTGGTCTCCGGGGGCACGGCTGTTCCGGCAGCGGACAGAACCCAGTACTCACCGTGGTGCACCACGCCTTTCAGCCCGTGGATGATGGGGTCCACAGCCGGGTTATCATTCAGCCCGACCTGCAGAGGGGATGACAGTCAGCACCTCTCATGGACATTCGATCACCAAAGCACACTACAGCTCATTCGGGGTACATTATAATTAAATGTGTACAAAATTGTTGGGGGTTACCCAAGAGAGGCTCGCAGAAGGAATATCCATAACGAAACACTGTGAAAATGGAAGCTTCTTCGACTGGGCGATCCCCTGCGGGGCAATTGAAGTGGTCTTTCTAAGGGTGCTTGAAACACACAGAGCAAGCGGCTCCTTTGCATGCATTAAAGTGATAAAGGCCAGTTGTTTCCCAGGCTGCTGCCATAGAGTCAGAGGCAGACATAAAGAAGAAGGCCGTATCTAATACACGAAGGCCGTGCGGACCACCAGCTACACTGCTGAGCCAAGGCGCGCCAGTCCATTCCGGGCAAATATCCTCGCCGCGTTCACCTGGTCACGCCATCGAGGGAAGGATGGGCGGGAAAGAAATCCTCTCATTACCTCAGCTTGGTGCACTGGGAGGCAAACTGGCGGGCTGGTGGCCTCACGCTCAAAAAGCGCTGGTGCTGTGAGTGACAGCGGCCGCTCTCGCTTCCCGACACGGACATGTGTGCTCAGTCTACAGTTAGCTCAGTTAGTCAGGGCTTGTTTACAAGTGAGTCAGGGGGGAGTCGAATGGAATGGAATCAAATGCAATAATGCAAAAATGAGAACGCTGAGGTACTGAACAGGAGTGCAGGTAAAGTGTGACGGGCCTGTTGCCAAGGGACACAGACTCCGGCCTCACAGGGCTTCTGTCTGAGCGTATGGGCCTGTCGCACCTCCACGCCCAGATCTCACAGCCAGTGCCGCTGCAGAGCTCCTGTCAGCTATAGGGGCTCCTCATATAACCAGTAATGACTTCCTGGAACTCGGTAATAGTAAAATTGATAATATTAGACTTCACATTCAGCTGCCTGTGATTAACTCTGCTAGAAAGGCCGGATCACAAAAGGCTGTGCGAGCGCTGCTTCAGTGACTCCCATCTAGCTGATGAACACGAAGAAGAAAGAAAAGAAAAAGTCATTCTGAATGGAAAATCTACTGCCTGTGGGTCTGCTCTCATTGCGGCTAAACTATTCAAGGATTGCAAGAGAGCACTTAAGAGGCTCGTCCTGATAATAATTAACAGCAGACGAACGTTAGTCTTATTCCATCAAAGTGGAGGTGGCAAGACCACGACTGGAAACCCCAAAATCAGATTCTCATAAACTCAGTCATTAGTCTCAAGCCACTCATTTCATTCTTTCAAAAAAAAAGAAATAAACAGAAATGTTTGCAGGCCATAAATCAGCCATAAATAATCCGACACCCATCAAATGACCACAGCCCAGAAAGTGGCTTAACCAAAGTATTAAACGATGTACTGTTATCCAACACCAATACTCATAGTTCATAGATCTTCATGCTGAATTTTACTCCACTGACTGTTATCGTCTATTATAAAGATTTTCTTCTTATTCGACATAATTGTCATCATTACATTCAGAAACTGAACAGCTGCCTCTCAGAACAGAGACCGACGAATCGACTAGTATCCTCCCCTGAGTATGTGCTGACATTTACACACGACACACAACAACACACAACACAATGTAACTTTCAACCAGACCCAATGATACTTTATCCATAGTATAAAAAAACCTTGAAACACCTCCTGTACTGAATGGTGAAAAAAGCATTGGTAATAATGCCCACTGGCAGCCCTTTGCGTAGAGTATAAAGCTCAAAGCTTCACTGTTGTTTGACACATGCCTGTCCATTAACATCCCATCAGCTCATCACTGTAGCTCAGAAACATTACAAAATGCAATATTCTGCTGTTCAACAGAGAAAAATGAACACAGTAGCTTGTTTGCAGCAGACACAGGACTGCAATCCCTTACTCTTAAGGAGCAGTAATGCTGTTCTCTCTGCCCAACTGCCCATTCAAAATGCTGCTGCAAGAATTGCAAGTGGAAATGGAAAATGACCAGTTTTCCTGCCATTTCATTCAGCCTCACTGGCTTCATGTGAAGCTCAATTTGGACTTTAGAAATTTTCCTCCTCGTTTATGAGGCACTGAACGGCTTCACCCCAGCATATCTCAGCTGATTAATGTGGGCAATCCAGATCAGTCCCTCAGATCACAGGATTCGGATCCTCTCACAGTTCCTCAGATACATTTTAGAAACTGCTAGCTGTAAAGCCTTTGGCTACAGGGCTCTGAGTTTATGGATCAGGCTACCAGCTGATGTGAGGTATACAGAGCCAATCGCATTTTACATCTAGACCTTTTATTTTATTCTACCTGCCTTTGCCTTATTTTTAGTTTAACTGACTAAATAATGTTTCTTCTGCCACTGTACATGCTGCCATGTGTCTCAATATCTGTGTATCACATCTCCAGCCACCGCAAACCCCCCCAAATCTCCCCATGCTGGGGTAACGCACCCAAAGAGAGCGTCGACTGTACAACGGCTCCCAGTTTGTGTCAAGAAGGCGGTAAGACTGCAGGCTGACCTGCTGATCCTACCGGGCGTTTTAGCACCTAGCCAGCATCGCACTCATAGCTGCTGTTCTAACAACAGCTACACATCACTTACTGAGGAGTATAAAGTTAGTAAGAGTGGGGGTATGTGGGCAGCCATTTGACATGAGACCCCCCAGAGATTTCCTCCTCATACGACTACCACGGGAGTTTCTGTTCCCTCATCTTCTTTGTCCTCTAGATTTTGCCTTTTAATAGTGCACAACTGTACCCGTCGCCATCTCTCAGGCTGCGGTTCCTGCTTAGCGCTTTGGGGTGACTGTTTTTGGGAAGGGCGCTATATAAAAAGGACCCGAAGGAAACTCAGCAGAATATAAAACAGCAATTTTAAATGAAGCCCGAGCTTGTCCAGTAAAGGTCAGAAAGAGTGATAATCTTGCAAATAATCTTCTTAGCACGATTAAAAAGATGTTCAGTACTCCTGTGAAGCATAGTGGTGGAAATAATTACACACGGCAAAAATAGGTCTTCCTTTTTCCAGGCACATCGCAGACCCCATCGGGTCATCTGTCCTGCCCGCCAGGCATGGAGGCCTCCGAACAGAGGCGCAGGGGAGGGAGGCCACGCAGCACACAGGGTGACCCCATCGGCCTGGGGGGCGGGTCAGCAGTGAGAAACCCCTCCACATTCCCACTGCACCCCGACCCACTGTCCCCTGCCAGCCTCTGCTCCTCCCTTTAATATATTCGGCGCTTCGCTGTAAATCCCACCCCACACAAGCCTTTGAAAAGCGTCCACCCGGGGTCTGCGCTCATAGTTCAGTAGGGCCTTCCAAAGCCGCGGGCAGCCTGGCAGCGTCTGCAGAGGTAATTTATGTGGAGATGATAATTGACAACGGGGGTCCCCACTGCTTTTCACCCTCACCTGTTTGCACCCCCTCCATCCCAAAATCACAGATTCGCCAGGCAGCAGAGCTGGTGGAAGGTTTTTCATCAAGGCCGACAAAACGGTTGATAGATTCAGGTGAAAATGGACGCCTTTCTGCAGGAGATGAATTAAAGGGTGGCGCGCGAGAGACAGCGACCGCGATTCGGCACCGGCCCAGAGACGGCCTGATTGATAGGCCGACGGCAGCTACCCCAGCAAATTTATAATCGCTAAACTTCTGCCAATGATCGGGGGGAGGATGGGGGGGGGGGCACAGTCTTGAGGACAAATCAGAACTGTGTTGAACAAAAGGTCCACGCAGACGGCAGCATGGAATCAGGGGTTTAATTTAGCAGCCATGTGGCCGATATGACTACCCTGGGAGTATCAGGCGGCGCTGGAGTGCAAAGAGTGACTTGGGAATTACAGCTTCATTATTAATGTTTGTCTTTTGAAGTCCGTCTCCCTTGAACCTCAAAAGGGGGGCTGCATTCTATCCATCTGACATATGTATGCATGTATGTATGTATGCATGTGTGGGTGTATGTACAGTATGTATGCATGCATGTATGTGTGGGTGTATGTATGTATGTATGTATGTATGTATGTATGTATGTGTGGGTGTATGTATGTATGCATGTATGTATGTGTGGGTGTACGCATGCATGCATGTATGCATGTATGTATGTATGCATGCATGTATGTGTGGGTGTATGTATGTATGTAAGTATGTATGTGTGGGTGTGTGTATGTATGCATGCATGTATGTGTGGGTGTATGTATGCATGCATGTATGTGTGGGTGTATGTATGCATGCATGTATGTGTGGGTGTATGTATGTATGCATGCATGTATGTGTGGATGTATGTTTTTTTTAGTTTATATAGTTTACAGAACTGTTCAAACATAAGTTATACAAATTATACAACAGTGCATTGGTAACATTAACACAGAGGAAACCTGTATACCTCATTTTTCAGGAGCTCACTGTATCACATCACTAATCCTAATTAAACTTCCTCTTGTGCAGTGTTTGTCAGCCTAATAAAAGTTTTTTTTTTTTTTTTTTTTTTTTACAATCAAACAGCCCAAGGCCAGATCACATCCGTGCTTCAGTAAAAGTTGAGGAAAAAGCGAAAGACAGAAACACAACAGCAACATCAAACATCTTCAGCTAGAATTGATCCAAATAAGCTGTTAATTACTTGGTCTGAAGGTGCTGAGGACCAGCACAATTTTAACTGAAGCCCAAACAAAAATCGCTGTAATATATAATAAAAACAATGATGAATCTATAAATTAGGGGCTGGTGATAAAAGGTCATTGAGCTGTAGGGAGCGAAAGAGGCGCTGAAATCCACTCTGATCTGAAACAGCAGTTTGATAACATCACTAGTGAATGGGAAGGTTTTCCTGTGTGAGTGTCACCATCTCCCGTGAAAACTGCTTTGAATGAGTAAAAACAGAGTCGTCATCATTAACAATCTGCAGGAAAGACCTGCTTGGTCTTGGCACTGGAACCTTGCAGAAGTGAGATGGCAAAGTATTAAAAGAAAGGTAATGATGCAAGGAAAAGGCCACTTACTGTGGAATCAATGCTGCAAAATGTGCTTTTAATCCTGCCGATTCAGAGGGACCGGGTGGCCACGTTACCCCCTTCTTTCCGTTAAATGACCCGAAAGAAAAATCTTCCGGGAGTGACACTCAAAGGTCCCTCACAAAGAAGTTCAACTCATTTTAAATGTATGATAAAAAGGTAGTTTAATATATGTATAACATTTGTGTGTTTATATAAAGCATTATATCCCACCTCCAACAAATCAAAAATACTTCACATTTCTAAGATATTTTGAAGGATTAATGAAGAATGAGCACTGACCTGGAAAAACACAGTCATAGCTGCTATGGTTCGCCGCTCCTTAATTGCCATGTTGATGCTTTCAAAATCATCCGAGTTGTACATATAAATTTGCATCTGGAAAGGAGAGAGGAAAAAAATCGAAGGTCACAGCTGGAAACTCTGTGTAATTCATAACTTTGAGCAGTATAGATTCGTCAGGAGGTGTAGGAGACAGACATATGCGCGTGTGCCTTCGCGTGCTCAGAAACACACATGCGGGCCGCAGGAGAAACATCCACAACACAGCGGAAGCCCACCAGCCTGTATGTTACAATGTACAGAATTTCTGTGACAGTCTATTTATATTCAGGGCAGTTAGTTGTCTCCATCAGGGGTGGGAACGCCGAACCTCCCCGAACATGCAAATTAGCCAAGGACACACCGTGCTGGGACAGATCTTGCCAGGGGGTAGGATTGACAGCCGGGATGAGGCTGGGACATGGCCAGATTGAGGTCGAGGTCGGGACGAGGCCAGGTCTAGGTCAGGACATTGCCAGGTTGAGGTTTAGATTGAGGCCGGATCGAGGTCAGGAAGAGGCCGGGATGAGATGGGGACATGGCCAGGTTGAGGTTGAGATTGAGGCTGGGTCGAGGTTGGGTCAAGGCCGGAACGAGGTCAGGATGTGGCCAGGTTGAGGTTCAGATTGAGGCTGGGTCGAGGTCGGGGCAAGGCCGGGATGAGATGGGGACATGGCCAGGTTGAGGTTGAGATTGAGGCTGAGTCGAGGTTGGGTAAAGGCCGGAACGAGGTCAGGATGTGACCAGGTTGAGGTTCAGATTGAGGCTGGGTCGAGGTCGGGTCAAGGCCGGAACGAGGTCAGGACGTGGCCAGGTTGAGGTTCAGATTGAGGCTGGGTCGAGGTCGGGGCAAGGTGGTACTCCATTCACCTGGTTTCGCCACACAGAGGAGTGCGGCCAATCACCCGGGTGTTTTCACCACTGCAAGATCTCCAGGATGGTCAACATGTTGCTAGGGGCGCACGGGACCAGTGTGCCGCTTACGAGTTTCGTGATCCACCACACGCTGAGCCGTTGTCATAGTGACACTTCCACGGAATTACGGATAAACGGCAGACAGACTGCACAGCCCCTCGCTTCCTTTAATCAAGCCCAGCAAGGCGGCTTGCGGCAGCCGATGTGTATAAAGGTATAATCTTTGCAGACACCAGACACCCGTCAAGGGGGGTAAGCATGAAACCAGTGTCCCTCAGAACACATTCAGCACAGCCATTTTACAGAGGCGGGGAATCTTAAATGGCCGGGAAGAAAATGACCTGGCAGGATTGTTTAAAATCACATTAACACTGAAATGCGATCCCAAAGCCGCAGGTTCACCCCCTGCAGAGTTCAGCTGCTGATAGCAGCATTCAGAACCACAGAACTATCAGACACATTTCTGTAGTAATAGAGAAAGCAGAGACCAGACCTTGCATTTTGTTCTTGACATGAACATACCTATACGTAGTGTGTGTGAGTGCGTATAACATAAATAGAGATGATTTTTCATATGGAATTACCCTGATATCTTACTCACTCTCTCGCCTGGGATCTATCCATCTTCCATAACTGCATTCCCAGGACAGTCTGCATGGAATGTCAGTCCATGACAGGACACACTCACACACGATCAACAATTTACAGACCCAGGGTCACCTGCGTGTATTTGTACTGTGGGAGGAACCCCTGGGGACAAGGAAAAAACATACAAACTCCGAATGCAGAGATCCGACTGGAATGAAGCCTGCAGCCTGGTGATATGCAGCTAGCATGCGATGCACTGAGTTAACCCCTGCAGTCCATGCAGCTCTGAAATGCATCTGCATCCTCCTAATAGAGACGGAGTGTTTTATACCACAGAAATAATGCTACGCAGTTCTTGCCTTTCAATAATTAATGGCAGCCTGGGAAAGGCTCCAGCCCCATGCAACCCCGACCAGAAGAAGCAGGTAGAAGATGGAAGGATGGATAAATAATAATAATGTTCATTATTATAATAATAATAAGAGTATTTTTCCAGCAGAAAGCGACAATGTGTGAACACAGGAGACTCCAGACGTGCTTAAACAAACAAACGCAGCTTGCATCGTGGTGCCCGGCAGGCTTTTATCTTTCTGTGCTAAAAGCGGCACATTTGCAGGCAGACTGCGTCCGGCTGCATCGAGGAATGACACACAGGGACAAGGCACCCATCTGCATGCAGCCGAGAGGCCCACGGCACAGGTAGAGTCACCTCAGTCACCGGGGGCTGGCTGCGATATCTCTGTCCGACCCAGACAGACACCAGAAGACACCCCCAGGACCGTGAGGACTGCAGTTAGGCCTGCCACTGGTTTTGCGGTTGGCAGTTTTGTTTGTTCATAATCGTGTGAGCGAATGCTCTGCGATACATCAGAGCTCGTGCACTAATGGGGTGAATCAGAATCCCACAACACCGGGGTCTGAGAGATTAAGCCAAGTGGCAAATTAATCATGCAGATATGGCAATAATGTATTCTGACGCATGAAAGAAGGAGACGGCTTTACGGAAAGGCGGCGTCCTCGCTAATGGGGGCATGAGGCGGGGCGTGATGGAGGTGCCCGCTCTCGCTGAAACTCCCCCAGCCCCCAGCAGTCAGCTGACGAAGAGGAGCCCGTGCCAGTCAGCTGACGAAGAGGAGCCCGTGCCAGTCAGCTGACGAGGAGAAGCCCGTGCCGGTCAGC